AAGTAGGCTTCTATGCAGACGACGCTACTATTTACTCCTGCCTCAAAAACAAATCTGGGATCGCTGACAAAACTAACCTGGCTGTTACTCTCGAAAAGGACCTCCGATTGTTGACTAAGGCAGGAAATGGCCGGTTAACTTTAATGTCCCCAAAACAAAACTGATCTCTATTTCCCACCACAGTGAACCCTCCTGTCTCCCATTAAAATGTCTGATGCTCAACTTCACGAGAGCAACTCTATGTGTATGTGTATGTGTGTGGGTGAGAAAGTTCTCAGAATATATATGTGCTATGCGTGATACACGCTTAGGCGATCATGTATCTTTTGATACGTGACTGACGAGGCAGTTTTTTCCCGCAGTAGGTTACCATTTCTTTCTGCGGTAGACCAGTCGTCGTCTAAGGCTAGAGAAACCGGTCTGTCCTGCTATTTACCCCTAGCTGGAGGGAGAAGTAGATGATTCATACCTTTCCCAAGTGTATTAGCACGTAAGTGAATGTAATGGATTTGACTGAAATTCCAATTCCGATTCCTCAATCCGAGCCGCTATCCACCGTGCCTCCTGGAGTATGTATACATATATATATATATATATATATATATATATATGTGTGTGTGTGTGTGTGTGTGTGTGTGTGTGTGTGTGTGTGTGTGTGTGAAAGTTCTCAGAAAATATGTGTAGAAAATAAGTAAACAGAACATGTCTAAATTATTCAACGAAACATGTCTCAATATATATATATATATATATATATATATATATATATATATATATATATATTATGTTTAATATATATATATATATATATATTTTCTTGTTCTTGTAACGGCATTCACCCGGGGTGGGTTGAGCCAGCTCCAATATTGGAGTTTCATGGGAATTTGGAATTCACAAGCGGTCCCCAAACCCGCATGTATAGCACATGAGATTTGATTATAGTGGTGAAGGTTTCGTGCAGGACCATCCACACTTTTTGAAGGGCCGATTACAGAGACAAAACGACTCTCAGCAGGTTTTGAATACAGAGTTTTCTTTCTCCTAGACCAGTTGCCATCCAAGGCTATAAAACCCAGTCTGTCCTGCTATTTACCCATAGAAGAATAGGATTCACACCTTTCCCAAGTTTATTCCTCAACCCAAGCCGCTATTCATTACTCCACCGTGCCTCCACTCCATATATATAGGAGCGTTCGGTTAGGAAGGTCGAATTTACTGTACTTGAACTTCAATCTTCTATGAATCTCTCACGTACATTCATATCTGCTCATGGCGTATCACATGTAAACAAATGACGTCAAACATTATCTATAAAAAGAATGTATAAACATAAAAATGTCTTAATACATACCTATATATATATATATAATTTCAGATCTAGCCATTACTTTTAACACCTCAACGATCCTTCGCCAAACTGCTATCAACAACCACTAATATTTCACTCATTTTTTATTTTGTTTTTTTTTTTCAAACAAATGGAAGAAAAGGAAGTGACGTTTCACATGCGGCTTGCTTACAAAGAGAATTGTTCATAACCATTTTGGTTCTCACCAGTCGAAGTGCAATATTAAATGCACTGAAACGAAGTTGCAGCTTTGTAGTGCGTAAATTGTTTTTGTCTATATGAAAATAAAATAATATATATATATATATATATATATATATATATATATATATATATGAATCTCACGTACATTCATATATATATATATATATATATATATATATATATATATATATATATATATATATATATATATATATATATATAAGATTGAAGTTCAAATACAGTAAATTAGACCTTGCTAACCGAACGCTCCTCTGTGGCCAAATCAGTTAAAGGCACGTCAAGCTAAATGATGTTTCCGTATAGGATACAGGTTCAAATCCTGTCGGAGGACGAATATTTTCTGTGAATATATTTTCGGACATTCAGGCCGGTAAATGTTGTTTAATACTGTTGATCATAAAACAGAGCATTTACTTAAATATTTGTATCTATAAAAAAAGAATGTATAAACATAAAATGTCTTAAAATAATTCTCAGTTTTGTTCATTTCATATTGTGATATATATATATATATATATATATATATATATATATATATATATATATATATATATATATATATATATATTAAAAATTATATATATATATATATTAAAATATGTAGATTGAAATGAAAGTCATTAAATAGATATCCAGCAGATAATTTGCAGAAATGTTGCAAACTTGATTTAAGAAGAAAGGAAATTTTTCTGGACTCTCAGTTACATTTCAGCAGTTTGGAATCTGTCGGCAAAAAGAGAACTAAGAAATATTCTCAGGACACAACAACAATGAATTTTGAAATGAAGATAAGATCGAGCACGCAGAATGCAATCGGTCAAGCAAAAAAAGAAAAAAAAAAGAAAAAAAATTGGGAAGAAAAACGTAAATTGAATCAACTTTTGCATGATGAATTTATATATCGACAATAGCGTTTATTATTTAGTTGTTGTGCATTTACGAATGCCTTTTATTAATTTTGTTGTGATACTTTCATCTTGAATAAAAATTGCCGCATCCTGGCTCGTACATCACTCAATTAAAAGCATTGATGGACAACCATACCGAATCTTTGTCATTGTTACAAGAGAAGAGATGCTTGGGGTGCAGTTCATCTTAGCCCGGAGGCTGGGATCTAATGAAGTTTACGATTTCAAGGTTGGAATTAACCACCCGCCTTTTCTTTTGGCTTTTAGTTTCATTTTTTTTTTCTGCTTAAATATATATATATATATATATATATATATATATATATATATATATATATATTTTTTGTTGCATTCCCCCACCCTCCCAACTTTGATAAATATATTTGTATTTATATATTAATTTATTAATTTTTTTAGTTACATTTTCGGTCTCGTTTTTTTTTAGTTACATTTTTTTCGGAGTTTTTTTATTTATTTATTTATTATCTCCCTTGATATTTATTTTATTATCTCCCTTGATATTTATTTTATTATCCTTCTTTATTCTTCTTTCTCAAATTTAATGCAACGGAGAAATTAATTCAATCAGGTTCCGTCTTCCTTGCCCAGCTTCCGTCTCTGCTGTAGTAACAAACTTTGATCGTCTTTTCCAGGCAAGAAATTATACAAGATCCGGTTGGGGGCGGGGATTAAAGAAGAAAAAGATAATAAATGGTGGTGGGAGGGAGGGAGAGAGAGAGAGAGAGAGAGACTCATACGTGCACAGACAGAGATAGAGTTAAAGTGGCGGAGAGAGATTGGTCGAGTGAGAATGAGAGACAGAAAGACTAACATAGAGACAGAGAAAATTTGAAGAGGGGAAAAGAGAAAGAGAGAGAGAGAGAGAGAGAGAGAGAGAGAAAAAAAAAAAAGATGAGGGCAGAAAGAGTGATGGATAGAGAGGGGAAGAGCGAGAAAGCAAGAGACAAAAAGACTCACAGTTGAAGAGCGAGGAAGAAACAGATAGGGATGGAGAGAGGGTGATAGAGAAAGATAGAGTGGATCAGAAAGGGAGTGACAGATAAAGAATGAGACAAAGATATATATATATATATATATATATATATATATATATATATATACAGACAAGGGGTTGAAAAATATATGTAGAGAGAGATACTAAGGGAGTGGGAGATGGAGAAAAGAAAAAAGCGTAAAAAGAATGTGAGAGAGTAGGAGGCAAAATGAGGAGAGACAAAGAAAGAGAGAGAGAGATGGAGATATAAAAGAGAACATCAAGAAAGCGATAGAGAGAGAGAGAAAAAATGTAGGATAAGGAGATACAGCGTAAGAAAGACAGAAAACGACATAAAGACACTAAAAAAATAAGAGAGACAGACAGATATATATATATATATATATATATATATATATATATATATATATATATATAGATAGATAGATAGATAGTGAGAGAGAGACACACACACACACACACAAAGAGTGGAAGGAGACAGAGATATACAGAAACAGAATAATAGCAGTGATAAATGAAGACACACACACACACACACACACACACACACACACAGAGAGAGAGAGAGAGAGAGAGAGAGAGAGAGAGAGAGAGAGAGAGAAAAAACAAATTGCCGAGAGAAGGTGAGAGAATGAGACAGAGCAGGAAAAATACAAGAGCGAAACAGGCAAGCAGATGTAGTGGGAGATAGTGGAATATATATATATATATATATATATATATATATATATATATATATATGGAGAGAGAGAGAGAGAGAGAGAGAGAGAGTGTCACAAAGAAAGAGAAAAGGCGACAAACATAGAGACAGATAGAGAGGGATTCAGTAAGACAGAGAAAGAGAAAGACCAAGTGTGAATAGATAGATAGATAAATATGAATATTGATATATATATATATATATATATATATATATATATATATATATATATAGATAGATAGATAGATAGATAGATAGATATGAATATTTAGATAGATAGGATAGATAGATAGATAGATAGATAGATAGATAGATAGATAGATATGAATATTTAGATAGATAGATAGATAGATAGATGATATGAATATTGATATAGATAGATAAATATGAATATTGATATATATATATATATATATATATATATATATATATAGATAGATGGATAGATATGAATATTTAGATAGATGAATGAGATAGATAGATAGATATGAATATTTAGATAGATAGATAGATAGATAGATATGAATATTGATATAGATAGATAAATATGAATATTGATATATATATATATATATATATATATATATATATATATATATATATATAGATAGATAGATGAATATGAATATTTAGATAGATAGATAGATGAATATGAATATTGAGATAGATAGATAAATATGAATATTGATATATATATATATATATATATATATATATAGATAGATAGATAGATAGATAGATAGATAGATAGATATGAATATTGAGATAGATAGATAGATAGATAGATAGATAGATTGATAGATATTATAGATAGATACGGACAGAGATAAAGCGAAAGCGAGTTACAAATAAAGAAAAAAAAGGAGACAATGAATGGGGCAGAGAGAGAGAGAGAGAGAGAGAGAGAAAGAGAGTGAGAAATGGAGAAATGTAGAGACAGAAACAGAAAGACAGAGGGACAGACAAGAGAAAAAGAAGGGAGAAAAGAACAGAACAGAAATCAAAAAGCGAAAAAGAAGGAAACAAAGAAAGAAAAAGAACGAAAGAGAGAGGGAGAGAAAGACAGAAAGAAAGAAAGAAAGAAAGAAAAAAGAGAGAGAAAAAGAGGAAAAGAGAGAAAGAGAGTGAGAAAAAATGAGAGAGAAAGAGAGGAAGAGAGAGAAACAGAGAAACAGAGAAACAGAGAAAGATAGAGGGAGTGAGAAAAAGAGAGCGAGATGAAGAGAGGAAGAGAGAGAAAGGGAGAGAGAAGGAGAGAGAGAAAGAAAGAGATAGAAAGAGAGAGTGTAAGAGAGAAAGACACTGAGGAAGAGAGAGAAAGTGTGAGAAGGAGAGAGAAAGAAAGAAAGAAAGAAAGAGATAGAAAGAGAGATAAAGAGAGGAAGAGAGAGAAGGAGAGAGAAGGAAAGAGATAGAAAGAGAGTGAAAGAGAGAGAAAGAGAGGAAGAGAGAGAAAGAGAGAGAAGGAGAGAGAAGGAAAGAGATAGAAAGAGAGAGCGAAAGAGAGAGAAGGAGAGAGAAAGAAGGAAAGAGATAGAAAGAGTGAAAGAGAGTGAAAGTGAGAGGAAGAAAGAGAAAGCGAGAGAGATAGAGAGAGAGGAAGAGAAAGAGAGAGAGAGATAGAGAGAGAGGAAGAGAAAGAGAGAGAGAGATAGAGAGAGAGGAAGAGAAAGAAAGAGAGAGAGATAGAGATAGAGAGAGAGATAGAGAGAGAGAGAGAGAGGGGAGGATTCCAAAAGAAAAGGACCCTCGAGTTATATTTGCAGAGTTTAATTTGCAGCTTATATTCTTTCTAGTTTGCTACCTTCACCGCAAGAGGGCGCCTTCAACAATTTCTTCTTTTTTTTTTCAATTAGACAAAAGGCAGATAATCATGAAGCGATGATTTGATTCGAGTTGGCACATTTCTAATCTGAGTAACGCCATCGCGCCCGGCTGATGGAGTTATTTCTTTAACGCTGACGCTACAAATGAAATGTTAAAACAATTTTGGTCCCGGCATATTTCTAAACAGATAAAGGCAGCAATGCTTAAGTCGCAAAATGAAGCAAGTCCAAAAACAGTGAAAAAAAAACAAAACAGAAATGGTTTCCAAGTGTGGGTAAAGCGGGTGGGGGACTATGCGTGACTGTAGGTAGAGAATAAAAGGAGGAAAATGGAAGCTGATTCCGAGGTGTGGGTGTGGATCGTAGGGAACATTGATTGTTATTTTGTTTTTATTACTTTTTTTTAGGGGGCATAACTCAGTTAGAAGTTGAATAAAATTAAATAAGGAAAGACGTAAACAAAAAGACAAAACTGCCTTTTTGCATGTTTCGTGGCTTATCCGTCTCCATAAGTGCTTATCTATCTATCTATCTATCTATCTATCTATCTATCTATCTATCTATCAGTCTGTTCATATCTATCTATCTATCTATCTATCTATCTATCTATCTATCTATCTTCAGTCTGTTCATTATCTATCTATCTATCTATCTATCTATCTATCTATCTAAGTCTGTTCATATCTATTTGTCTAGTTATCTATCTCAGTCTGTTCATATCTATCTATCTATCTATCTATCTATCTATTTTCAGTCTGTTCATATCTATCTATCTATCTATCTATCTATCTATCTATCTATCTATCTATCTAAGTCTGTTCATATCTATCTATCTATCTATCTATCTATCTATCTATCTATCTATCTATCTCCCAGTCTGTTCATATCTATCTGTCTATCTATCTATCTGTTCATATAAATCTATTTTCAGTCTATTCATATCTATCTATCTATCTATCTATCTATCTATCTAGATCTCAGTCTGTTCATCCATGTGCGCGTGGCCGAGTGTTTAGAGTGTTCGCTTTCTGACTTTCAAATCTCACCATGGTCGATTTGTCAGGAGACTTCCTGGTGTTATCAGGATGGATCGAGGTCGATGCCAGCGTGCGACACCTTTGGCAAGTGCCTGAAAACCATACGACAGGTTGACCCAAGCCTTGTGAGTGAAATTGGGTAGACGGGACTCTTGAGGGCCCTCGATAGCTGTGCTAGAACGAATCTACAAGTCATCGCGGCCGAGGGATTGAGCGTTCTGGCCTTGTCCAAATTATTGATCACGCCCTGTTTTCTCCCAGAAACTGTAACTAAGACCTGCTCAGCATGGTTGCAGTATAAACCACAGGTGGGCTCTGTGTGTGTTGAGCAAACACAAATGTGCCTGAGCAAGCATCTGCAATAGGGATTGGCTAGCTCCAAGTCGACAGGTATTCTGGCCAGATATTATTTAAGTTTGTTCATATCTATCTATCTATCTATCTATCTATGTCATTTTATCTCTCTCTCTCTATCTATGTCATTTTATCTCTCTCTCTCTCTATCTATGTCATTTCAAATCTATCTATCTATCTATGTCATTTTATCTCCCTCTCTCTATCTCTCTAGGTCATTTTATAGATATATATCTCTCTCTATTTATCTATGTCATTTCAGATCTATCTATCTATCTATCTATCTATCTATCTATCTATCTATGTCATTTTAGATCTCTCTCTCTCTCTCTCTCTATGTCATTTCAAATCTATCTATCTATCTATCTATCTATGTAATTTTAGATCTCTCTCTCTCTCTCTCTCTCTATCTATCTATCTATCTATGTCATTTCAGATCTATCTATCTATCTATCTATCTATCTATCTATCTATCTATGTCATTTTAGATCCCTCTCTCTCTATGTCATTTCAGATCTATCTATCTATCTATCTATCTATCTATCTATCTATCTATCTGGAAGTGGTTGATTGTTAATTCCCTCACCAGATGAGGAGAGGATAAGGCAATAGAAATTTCGTCTTCCAGGATGATGTTTGTGAATAGCATGGCCGGCATATGTGAGCAACATTGAAGTTAAAAAGGGCAAGAAAAGGTCACTCGTACAAAAAAAATCAGAAAGAGACAGTTTAAATTTCTCAGGCACATAATGAAGAAAGAAGGTTTGGAGATTTTGGCATTCACATGACATATTGAAGGTCAACTGGGCAGAAAAAAACTGCAAATAACATTGAATGACAGAACAAGGACTGGCGGAACAACAAGCAGGGCTAGAGCTACAAAGGATTGGAAGTTGTGGAGAGCCATAAATGAAGAAAGAAGAGAATACATATTTTCAAAATGATCTTTAAAAAGTAAAATGAAATATCAATGGAAAAAAAAGAAAAGGTATTTGGATATGCTTCAGAAATCCAAAGGAATCCTCTCTTAGCTTTTGACAATAACAGGCAAAACAATGACTGCATCATTATTCCCGTTCACATCAGAATGCATCTGTAGTTGCATTTTGTGAAGAGACTGCACAAGTGTGCAAGAGATTTGTTTAATATTTAGTCCATTTGCTATTATTAATGAGTGTAGCAACCTAGGAAGGGTTACTGAATGAAGAATAGCCAAAATGGAGGATGGAAATGAAATCATAATCTTTATAATATCAACAAAATACGATACTCGCCAGCGGCGTGAAGTAGGTAAACCACTGCTAGTCGTGGTCTACTTATACAGCATATTACCTCTACTTAGTGTACAACGTATTTATGAGGATTGAGGCATACCCTTTAGTGTTCATAGGTACGGTATATAACACTATCTCAATCTTTTCACTATCTATCTATCTATCTATCTATCTATCTATCTATCTATCTATCTATCTATTGTAA